TATTATTATTATTTTTATTTTTTCCTCAATTAAAAAACAAATGCCAGATTCCTGTAGAGGCAGTTTAACCACTGCTATTACTGTGTGTGTGACTGGTTACCACACGTGAGCTTTGTGATTAAAATGAGGCTATTAGAAGCAGCCAGTTTCTTGGAGAATTAGAGAAAACACTGGGGGAAGCAATTTCTTTGAAAACAACAACTGAATCAAAGAATATGGTTCCAATCATACTAGATGGGGCCCACTTCTGTGTCTTCTAGTGGGGGAAACCAGGATGGGACTGAAGGGAATAGCATTTCACACTGTTGGAGTTGGTGAGGATTAAAGGAGGCTCAGGGCAATCATTTATTAAGTGCTCAGTGCTTTGAGCCAGCCCCTCAACTTTGCAACTTTTCAGCATTTAGGCTCTGTTGTGAATTTTACACAAAGTTGTAGCCTTATATTTGGTGTGAGTGTGACTATCCTGGACCAAAAGAGCCCTGACTTTTAGGGTATTTAAAAATTAGAGTTCAAATCAGAGGCTTTTCATCTTCTCTATGCACTGTATAAGCTGCTGGGTTTAGGAGGTGATTTTAGCATTCTATCTTGAGTAGAACAGGCTAAAAATGAGCATTTCACCATCTGAAGGTGGTGCTTTCCTTGGGTTTATGGACACAGCTAGAGCAACCAGCCCATAGTACATCTTCCTTGAATGTCATGGAGAAAAGCAGCTGAGCCAAGTCCCCCTGCTCTAGCTGCATTACCCAGTGCACTGTGAAATGACCTGACCTCTGCTCTTGGAACACAGACAAATTTGAATTTATTTACACTTAAATGACCATTGTTGAGTAGCAATACTCAGAAGCCAGGAATTTAGGTACCAGAAAGCACAAATGACTTAGGATGATTTTGAAGTATGTGTTTTTTTGAGTTCAAGACCTAAAGCCAATGCTTGGTGACTTTATCATTAGGAATTAAGCATGTCACCCATGCAGGTACTTCCCTGAAGCCTACCTGCATCCTTAAGAGTCTGAATATTTTGTAAATCTGTTTCTGGATCTCTTTTGGAATGACATTTAGGCTCCCAAGTCACCTGATGTTCAGGCTAGAAGTGAGAAATGTTCAGTGGAGGGTTCTGCAGTTTTCCATTCATTACCCATGATATGATCCATCCTGGTGGAGATTGTGACCCTTGGGGTGAGCCACTCTGCTGCTTGTACTGTGTTAATCCATGGTGCTTTCTGTGGCATGATTTTTCACCTGGCTGTAAGGGACTCTTCTGCATCCTTGTCAATTGTTGGTCCAGCTTACTTGACTCTCTCCAGCAGTTAGAGGGTGACAGAACCATAGAATCCCAGGTTGGAAGGGACTTCAGGGATTATGTGGTTCAACCTCTCTTGGTAAAAGCACAGTCTAGACAGGATGGCCCAGCTCCTATCCATCTGAATCTGAAAATGTCCAGTGTTGGGGCATCCACCACTTCCCTGGGGAGATTATTCCAAAGGCTGATTGTTCTTCCTGTGAAAAATTTTCCACTTCTCTCCAGGCAGAATGTCCCCAGGAGTAACCTGTACCCATCACCCCTCATCTTTTCCATGTGGCTCCTTGGAAGAAGGGAGTCTCCAGCTTCTTTGTAGCCACCCTTTAAACAGCAGAACATGGTGAGAAGGTCTCCCCTAAGCCTTCGTTTCTCCAGGCTGAACAAACCAATTCTTTCAGCCTTTCCTCATCTGCCAGCTTCCCTAGATCATCTTTGTGACCCTTCTCTGGATGCTCTCCAGCCTGGCCACACCTTTTTTGCATAGCAGGGGCCAAAGCTGAACACAGAATTCCAGATGTGGCCTGACCAGCACTGAACAGAGTGGGATAATGACTCTGTCTCTGCTGGTGATGCCCTTGCTGATGCCCCCAGCATCCCATTGGCTTTCTTTGCTGCAGGAGCAGCAGCACACACTGTTGTTTCATACTGAGCTTGTTGCACACCAAGACCCCCAGGTCCCTTTCCAGAGAGCTGCTCCCCAGCTGGGCAGACCCCAACCTGTGCTGGATTGTGTTTTCCCAGGTACAAGACCTCACACTTGTCCTTGTTGAACTTCATCAGGTTCTTGTTAGCCCACTCTGCTGAAAAATAATGGCTGGGGACATCCTCATAAGTGGTCAAGGGTCAGATTCTTCCACCCATAATCATTTCAGGTATCTCTTTTGCTTGGCTGCAGAGCCTGGTGGGGACCAGGGGAAAGTCTCAAACCTCCAATCCTCTTCTTGTAGCTGCTTTTATTTAACAGGCATCTTCCCTGTCAATGTGAATAAAGGAGGAGAGAGCAGTTCATTATCCAGTGTATCACTTTGAGCCTAATACTAATTAAAAGCTTTGCCTTCACTTCTGTGGAACCTATTCTTACAAATTATGTAAATTAATTGGAGTTTTGAAGAGGAGCATATGCCAAATCCTAAGTAATTCCCTGCTGGCTGAGGCAGCTCCAGCACTGGAACCAGAGAACAGCAGCAGGATCTTTTTTTTCCCCTTTTGTGGCTGCAAAAGTCTAAGGCTGCTTCAGTAAATTTTGGTGCCTCTCTTTAGCAAATACAAGACAGAGATCAAAACTCCAGACCCTGACCATTTCCAGAGGTGTGATACAAAGGTTTCTCTGCTGTGAAAGCTTTTCCATCTCAAAAATGACATTTAACACAGACAAGCTTTTTACTTCCACTGCCCTTCTCCAAACAAATTCCTGCTTCAAAGAGCATTTTGACTCTCAAGAGGGAGATGTACCTGAGATCCCAGGAACCCCCCTTCTGAGCTCACTCTTGCTATTAATTTAATGTTGAAGGTATTTACATGCTACACTGACTGAGAGGGGAGATTTGATCCTAAGGTACATAGTGCAGGGAGAAAATGGGATATACTTCTGAAGTAAAATAACTTTAAATGTTATTAGTTTTTAGCTTTTTTTTTTCCCCCATCCTGATTATTTTTTCCCTTTGAAAAAGGCCAAACCAAGTAGATGGAGGAGAACCAAAGAAATGGGTTTGAATGAAAATAAGAAGCAATATGGTTTGGTCTCGATATATTTTTATCTCAATCAAGAAATCATTTAAAGCTGATGAAACTGCTTGAATGTTTAAATATAAACATGATTAAGTTCTTTGGTGGATCTTGGCTTGTTATGTATTGAAGGTGGATAGGAGTGTGAATTAAAGGGTGGAACTCTGGGTGGGAAGATGCTGCAGTGTAAGCTTGCTTCCAGATGTATTTTTCTGGGCCTCCAGTCCAGATGCTTTTTGCCTTCAGAGATTTCATGTTTAGTGCTGGTGAGGTCTAATTTTTGCAGCCATCATCTTTTCCCAGCTGAAGGCTTTCCAATGGTACTATGCAACCTCTACGTACAAGGAGCCAGATCCTCTTCCCTGGCTCAGACTTCTATTCCATGAAACTTTGTGAAAAGCTGCTAGAAATGGGTCTCCTGTCTCTTTGGAGCTTTAGTGATATGGAAACAAGTGCCAGGAAGTGCAAGTGTGGCTGTTGATGATGCTGCACTGCAGGACACTTAGACTGCTGGGTGTCTGCCCCTTCCTCAACCATAGTTCATTGGGCTCTTGGCCATTATTGTTACATCTTCCTCAGTTTCCTCATCAGTACATACCTCTGACTAAATGTGAGACTAAATTTAGTGAGACTAAATCCATTAGGAGTTTTTTTGACTGCATTTTGTTTCTCCCAGAAAACGTTCTGTAACCTTTCAGGTTGATAAGAAGAAAACAACAATTCATTTAGCTAGGGCTGGAGCTTGTCAAAATCCTTACCTCTGATGGCAGCAGCAGGACT